GCACCGTCCGCCTACGGGGCGGCTCCGCAACCCTATGGAGCCCCTCCGCCCTACTATGGCACTACCCCGACCTACGCTCTGTGGTACGGCGCCCCTGCACCAACCTACGGCGCCGCACCACCGATGCCTTCTACCTGGCCGATGCCTCCGCCGTCACAGATAGCGCCGTCACCCTATGGCGCGGCCTACGGCGCCGCGCCCGCCGTGTCTTCGGTGGCCACGCCTGGTCCGGTCGATGCCCCTTCCGGTCCTGGCTACGAGGTGTCCTTGGCCCTCGCTCCCCATGATGGGCAGAACATGGGTCCCCATGCGGGTTATGCTCCGGCGCCATCGCCGTTCTACTTCTCGCATCTTCTTCCGGTGAAGCTTACACCGGACAACTACCTATCCTGGCGGGCACAGGTGCTACCTCTCCTATGGAGTCGCTACTTGGAGGGCTATGTTGATGGCTCTATCCCGTGTCCGCCGCCGTATCACCCGGCTCATCATGTGTGGGTGGCCCAAGACCAGGCGATACTTTCGGCCATCCAGTCCTCGCTGACTCCGAGCGTGTCGTCGCTTGTCATCTTCGCCGCGACATCCCGGGAGGCTTGGTCTGCACTTCACAGCAGTTTTGTCTCTCAGTCTCAGGCGTGTGCTCACTCTATCCGCACTGAGTTGGGGGAGACCAAGCTTGGAGGCCTCACCATCACGGAGTACTTCAACAAGATGTCAGAACTTGCAGACACGCTGGCCTCCATTGGCCAGCCCCTTGGAGATGAGGACTTCACCACTCATGTGCTCAATGGCCTCGATGATGACTATGACAATCTCATTGAGAACGTCCATGGGCGCGAGGCGCCTCTCCTGCCACGGGAACTGTATGCGCGGCTCCTTGGTCGCGAACAGCGCATCAAAGCGCGTCGATCTACTCCGAGTTTTGCCTCTGCTAACACCGCCACCCGTGGCAAATCGCAGAAGCCGTCGCTCCCTGCCAAGCCGGCGGGCACATCTCAGCCCTCACGGGGCGCCGCGCCCTCCATCACAGGGGGATCGCGGCCGGTGGCTTGCTGTCCCAGTTGTGGTGCTCAGCAGGCGTGCCAGCTGTGTGGGGTTTAGCGCCACGTAGCTTCTCGCTGTCATCGCCGCTACAAGCAAGATTTCCTTGGCCTCGGCAACAATGGCAAGGGGAATGAAAAATAGGCGGCCGCTGCGGTGGTGGGTCATGAGCACGGGCATACTCCATCCTACTCGATTGATCCCTCATGGTACATGGACACGGGAGCTACCAACCACCTCACCAACGACATGAGCAAGCTCTCGGTCCAGGAGCCATATTGCGGTCATGATCAGGTGCACACCGCTAACGGAGCAGGTATGCGCATCTCCCATGTTGGTCAGGCATCCCTTCTTGCACACAATTCACGAAAACTGCATTTGTCTAACATCCTTCGTATTCCCACTGCTTCGCGTAGTTTGTTGTCTGTTCCACAACTTACTCGTGACAATAATGTCCTTGCTGAATTTCACCATTTTCGTTTCTTTATCAAGGATCGGGACGCGAGGGCCGTTCTGCTTAGCGGTCGTCTTCGCCGTGGCTTGTATGCACTTGACGCGCCAACTGCACCTCCCATGCAGTTTTCTCCTCAGGCGTTCAGTGGTGTTCGTGTCTCGCCTACACATTGGCACGCGCGACTTGGTCATCCTGCCGCTCCCATAGTCCGTCATGTGTTGCATCGTCATGAGCTACTAGTTGTGTCAAATAAAACTGCTGAAACTATTTGTGATGCCTGTCAGCAGGGCAAGAGTCACCAACTCCCGTTTTCAGAGTCTAGTCGTGTTGTGAAACATCCTCTTGAGCTTATTTTTTCCGATGTATGGGGTCATGCCCAAACGTCGGTTAGTGGCCATAATTATTATGTCAGTTTCATTGATGCTTACAGTCGGTTTACCTGGCTCTATCTTATTAAGAAAAAATCTGATGTGTTTGATGTGTTTATCCAGTTTCAAGCACATGTTGAGCGTCTCCTTCGCCAGAAAATTATTCATGTCCAAAGCGACTCGGGGGGTGAATACCACAATCTCAACTCATTCTTTAACAAGCTTGGGATTACACACCGT